TTCTTTGCATTATATACGAATTGTTTGTTTGTATATATGTTTGTATATCACGAAAACAACTTAGAATACACGTGCATTCTGGTTGTCTGGGTAGCCTTCTTGATTCGGGCACCTGTTGCTCCCGCCGGCCGATGCTATTTGGCTGCCAAGATGTTGGAAACTTTCGACCTTCTCCACTGTTTTCCCCGCTACCGTAAAGTTGCCCGTGTTGACATCCAACGATTTGATCTTGTTGACGTTTATGGTGCAGAGGAGCGGTCGCCTAGGTCATTGAGCTTACTCTGCATATCAGAGCGCCATTGTGCTAGTAGAGCATCATCACCAGCCAAATCGAAGTCGTTGAGATGCTCCATGATAATAGGCTGCCAAAGCAACCCACGGTTCGGTACACGGTCCCATGCACCCACCATGATCTCGTCGATTACGATGAGGAACAGTAGCGGTGATAATATGCATCCTTGTCTCACACAAGCGACTACCCGGATAGGGTCAGACAAGGTTCCGTTATGCAGAACTCTGCACGTGAAAGCCTGATACTGCGCTTCGATGAGGTTGACGATTTTATCCGGGACTCTCTTGCGTCTCAGGGCGCCCCACAGATTCTCGTGATTGAGTCGATCGAAGGCTTTTTCGTAGTCAATGAATACCAAATAAAGGGACTCTTGGAATTCATTGACCTGCTCCAGGATGATGCGGAGCGTGACAATATGGTCCACACAAGATCTTCCGACACAGAATCCTGCCTGCTGCCGCCAGCGAGTCACGTCGATCTTCTCCTGTATCCGATTCAGGATAACTTTGCACAGAACTTTGAGAATAGTAACATCCCAAGTAACAAATCTAGAGCTGCTTGGCTATATTCCAAATTTATAAAGGTTTTATTGCAGCTGCAACCATTACCTACAGCTTTATGACGGTCATATACAATGCAAGTCATGAAAAATTCTTATAGCTATCTACAAAACCCCTATAAAGCTAATTAAAAAACCAACTGATGCTTATGCTATTTTCACTTATGAAAGGTTTTATGATTGCTTTGAAGTATACAAAAAAGTAATATAAATTGCCCTTATAAAACCAAAAAAATAATCCTTTCGTTGCTTTATAAATAAGCGCAATAAAACTAGTTGGCCATGAAACAGTTATTTTAAAACAATTATAAGCATTCAGTTGCGACTTGTCAGAAATGTAAATAGGTGGTTTATTTTTACAACATAGAAAAGAATCAAAACTTTCCGGTACTTCCAAGCGAAGCGCAAAGAAAATCAACAACATTGTTAGCATGAGCATGAAAACATTTCGTGTATACGTCTCGCTCGCATATACATGGGGTGACACGGTCGAATCTTGGTCGAAATGGTGGCAGTCCTAGGGCAAAAAGGTTGAAATCACGCATAACTTTTCATAAAGGTTAATGTACCATTCAAAACTTTTCTAAATGTTTGTAAAATTCATCGGTTGCACCCGTAGAATAGGAATATACATTTGCCCTCAAATAAAAAAATGAATTCAAGCTGAACATTGCATTAGGTTCTAAGTAATATTGACAGATTCGCTTCGTCAACTTTCTCTTTGCATCCTCACGGTCATGTAAAGACATTCCCAGGTATTTTCAGCACATAAATCGATAAAAGAGGCTTTTATCTAGCATCCAATACGACAAACACATCAAGAAACGGTTCTGTGAATAAGTTATCAACGAAAGAGAAAGTCGACAGGTTGCGATTTTTTGCGCTTTGGGAGATATTAATGTTCAAAAATTGTGTTTTTTTTCTCGTTTTTTCAACAATATCTTTGAAATTTGAAGTTTAATCCAGTATGTTTCTTCACAAAATCTATTTATTTAATGTATTTGCATAAGAGAATAATAAAACATTATAAAGCTGTAAGCAAAAAAAAACAGAAACAGAAAAAAAAACCATATTTTCAACATTTTTTTTCTTTAACTCCATATAACTTGGAACCAGTAGACAGTGGAAATTTAACGTCTTTGAAATAGCTGTTTATTTTGTCAAGATAAACAACTTTGCTCAAAACATCAAGTCTCCAAAACGTCAGAGAAAGAAGTTAGATTGTGGCACCATCTTTGCGGAAGAGTTTTGAACTATTTGTTTATGTCAATAGATGGTCCTTATTATGACGAGAAATTTTGCCGAAGACACCAAGTCACGGAAATGCTTCGTTTCGGAGTTATTAATGTTGATCCGCTAGGTTGCATTCCTGACCCAGTGTGCAATGTAAGCATTAGACATTTTAAGAAATTGCGCTTGGTGTTTTTCTTGCCTGCTGTCCTCTGTCGCCATATTGTCATTATGAAAATGCCATTAGCCTTGGAATAAAATCCAAGAAATTTTAATAAAATAATGGCTAAATAAGATATCCGAAATGATTTCCAGTGTGCATTGGTATGAGTTTATGTATTGAGATCAATTTTCTGTAAAATTAAGGTAATTCCATCAAATTCATTTGATTTCTGAAACAATCTTTTTTGTTAACTTGAATTATTTTGGAGGCGCATTTATTTAACGCTCATATTATCTCAATATACACGATAACATTTCAAGCGCATATGTTTTGGAACTTCTAAAAAGTCATATATTTTCTTTAAAATTTTCACTAATGTCGCCATGAAACAAAATTGATGGCATGGTGATCTTGACACCAACACTCAAACATATTTTTACCGCTAAAGATTTCCATTTGGAAAAAAAGTTTCAGCAGAACAGAACAACAACAAGCTAATTTATGGCGGTTGCTTTGATGCCAATAAAAATTAAATTGGCTTTATAACTGATTTTCACCAAAGCGTAATAAAACTGCTTGGATACAATATTACTCTTATAGAGGCTATGAGAACCTTTTGTAGAGTATGAGGCTTCCTGACAAAAGGTTTTAAGACAGCTTTATTGTGATTCTCAAACATGCTTTATAAACCTTATCAAGAGTGGTCCACTAAGCTGTATGACGATCTTATAGCGGTTATCAAAAGGTTGTGCTGGAGCTATTAATTTTATTGGCGGTTTTATGAAATTGATCTCAATAACCACTAATAGAGTGCAATAAAACAAGAAATGCTACTTGGGATGATGCCTCGCCAATTGTCACACACAGTCAGATCCTCCTTCTTTGAGACCTTCACTAAGACGCCCTGCATCCAGTCGGCCAGAAAAGTCGTGGTGTCCCAGATATAACAGAATAGTTGATGCAACATTTGAGCGGATAGCATGGAATCAGCTTTGAGCATCTCTGCTGCTATTTTGGATTTATGGGAATGAGTAGAAATAACTCATTAACAAGTACCTAGCCGTTTTATTCAAAATTAAGTTCTGGCTATGTTACTCAATTTAGAGTATATTTGGTTTTCTATAAATTGAGTGGGTTTTCACTCAATTTGCACACAAGTTATAATTTCAACGCGTTCAAGATGCATTTTTAAGGCGGCGTGGCGGCGCATAGGTCTAGTACCAATGCTACAGACGGCAGGAAGGCATATCTCACACCTGGACCTTAATGGACCCATCAGCTCATGGACCGGGGACCGACGAAGGAAGGCATACTCACAGATTTTATGTCTCAGAAAATCCCAGCGATGCCGACTGGGATCGAACCCAGGCCCTTTGGGGTGAGCGGTAATTACGCTAGCCACTAAACCACTGGCACCGCTTTTACTTAGCTTTGGTCCCAAAGATTATTTGATATACTTTTTGATATTTTACCTCCTATATCAAACAAACTAATAGCAATGTTTGATGTTCTGTTCCCCAATTTTAAAAGTAAAACTTGCTATGGAATTGATATTGTCGTCTACTTGGGGACCTTCTGCTTTCAAACGTAATGTGCTAGTTCATCACGGCTAAAAAATCACGATAATAAAGAAAATAAGCATGGTGGGTGAGGCGCGCAAATTAAAAATCATTTTCATAGCCATAATTCGAACACACCACAATAGCAACGTATAGATATGACAGGTACATCTACCCTACCACTTTGACGTTTAACATTTTCAGGTTACAGTCTCATTTTTCTCACAGTAATAGTGGTTCCTACATCCCTAGTAGCACACTTGTCACAAACCCATTTAGGTAACTGCTTTAGTCACAATCAAGTTGCTGCAACTTTGTGTGACTGATGTGCGCTGGACGTCCTTCAGGTTTAAAAAATTAGTTTCTCAAAAAAATTATATGTTGTAATTTAACAATTAATTATTTAAAATTTGTGTGCACTTTAGTTGAGTCAAATGCATGTGTACCACTTTGTCTCGATGGCGTGAAAATATGCTATAACTTCGCTGCTCGTTAGGTGCCCGGTGGCAACAACAATTAAGGTGCAATTTACATTGATGCCTTTTCGAAAAATTCAAACGCTTTTTTTAAATATTGTGTAAAATATCAAAAGGAATGGAGTGAAGAGAGCTTTTGAAATCTGAAATGATTCGTCAAAAAAAAACTGCTTTTGAATTTTTGGACATCGCGCTAAAATATTGTAATTGCACCGCTGCGATTAAATTAAAAACACCATAAATGTATATCTAATAAACTCATTAATGATTGTAGCATATTGATTTGTAAGGTTATTGATTGTTATAAAAATCGAAAACAAGGCTTAATATGCCGAAATAAATCAGTTGCAAGAAGTTTGTTAGTTTAATTATTCATTGATTTTTGGAATTCAATTTACCACAATTTCGTAAAAAAAAAACAACATTGTTTGAATTCCCTTCGATTGAACATAGGGTGCAGAACCCTATTCCAAGCAAGGTGTGAACGCTCATTTTTTTGCAATATGATGCTACGCATCATAGAGCATCTTATCGATAGTTTTCTTATTAATTTTCTGTAAAAAATCCCCGTGCTTGGAATAGGGTCTCGAGGCAGCTACAGCCATTCTCTACCCTACTTACTTTTCAACTCAGCAATTCAATCATGATGCATATTATATACAGTACACATTTGCTTGCCATGCCACCCTCTGTACACTCGCTTACTTCTCTTCCGTTTCAGATTCAAACTGGGCACTTCCGTTGGTACTTGCCACCAACCTACACATTCCCTATCGAATCGTCCTGGACAAAGATGAACTGAAGCTGCAGGAACGGGACACTACTGGACGAGGTGAGCTCTTTCTCTCTTAATGCAAATGCGATGGATAGCCTAGGCGTTCTTATTTTAATCTTTTCCACGGAACGCGAACAGCCACCGTCAATAATTGAGGTTTCCAATTAAAATCAATCGCACCACTTATTTATGGAACCCATCTCGATTGTGGAAACATAGCATTGAACAAAAACGGTACTATATAAATATCAATTCCAGAAGAGTAGGAAAAGCAAAAGAAGAGTTAAAACTGCGTAGTCCAAAATTATGGACGGTTTTCCCCCCTTCAGTCAGTGACGAACAATTTCACACTCTATTAAATTTATGATCGATCCCCTCGTTCGACTAGGATGAAAAAATGACGAAGGAAAGTGATGGTCTGAAAATGTGAAAATGTAAATATTCGATTTATCCAAAAGTCATTAACTCTGGCCAGTGAAGTGTCTGCTGAGGGAAAAAAAAAAGAAATAAGCAGAAATTCACAAATTGATTGATTTCATTGCAAGGTCACAATTTGAATTGCTCAATCGAGAAAATATAAATTTTCCAGCGAGATGATAATAATTATACTGGTGGAACCGGGCTTCCAGTGACCGCATCATTACCAAACGCCAACGCCGACTAGAGAGTCACATTTTCAGGTTTACTGTACGTGCTTTTGTCATGACCGGATGGGTATAACCTACCAACTTGCGTAGGTTGAGCTCTGTCTCTCTCTCTTTCTCCCTAGTGACTGAACAAGTCGTTAGTAAATAATACATCCTGCTCGATAATTGTTGGCGGCCACATCTGGGGGCAAGACTGAGACTGTTTACCACGGCCAAGAGGAAAGGATAATTTATTCAGCAGTGCTCGAGCGGAAACAGACGTGCCTTTGGGAAGAAAAACACTTCTCAGGAGGCATATTTTGACACCACAAAGTTTTATCTTAATTATATGCTGCAGATTTGAGAAGCGTGCTGCATCGTGATTTATAAAGAAGAATGGAATTGTAGTAGCAGTTGTCGAAAATATCTGGACTTTTCTAATTAACATTACTTCAAAATATGTATGAAGATTTTCAAATTTCACAGGAGTTGTTGAAATTTCCAAAACTCTCAAGGCTTCTCGAAAAGGCTCTTGAATTCATGGAGCTGTCCAGAATTAAACAAAACTCAAGTTTATACATCTTTAAACTTCCCCGAGCTGTCCTGAAATTAGTGGGACTTGTCTGAAAAGCTCTGTACCTCGGTTGCCTGAGGTTCTTGTAATTTCTAAAAGTATTTACAGTTTTTTTCATGTTCAAGTTTGGCTTCCCTGAATTTCTTAGCACTTCTCAAAAGTTCCAGCAGTTTTCTTGAAGCTGATTGAATCGCCTTGAAGTTCTCGAAGATTTCCTGAAGTGGCGAAAATTTTACAGAAATTCTCAGGTCTTACCTTACTATACCGCAGTTTGTTCATGAATCTTCCCCTATGTTCTCGGTATTTGCTTTCATTCCTCGGATAACTTTAAAGTTCATACAAAATGTCTCTGATGTTATTTAATCATTCCTGAAATCCTTGGAACTTCCCGGTGTGACCCCGGCTTAGAGGTTAGCATCCATACATCTCACGCCAAAGTCACGAGCTTAAATCTCACCCCCGGAAAAGTCACGAATGACCCAAGAGCGTAACTTCCCTGATGTTTTCGATATTCTTCTGTGGATGTTTCTGGAATAGACCTGAAAGTAATGAACCTGCTCTGAAGATCTTTTGAACTTTTTTCTTGGAAAATTCTGTAGAGTTCCTGCCATTTTTTTTAAATCCTCATAATTTCATGATGTTTTAGGCATTTTTCTAAAGATTACACAATTTTTCAGATGCTCATGGAACTACCATAAAGTTATCAGAACTTTCCTGAAGCTCGCTAACCTTTTTCAAGGATCTTAAAACTTACCATAACTTTTCTTGAAGTTCCTGAAATGTTCTTGAGGTTATCGAAACTGTCATGAAGCTCTCCATTCTTCATCAAGTTCACGAAACGCTAATCTGAACGAAAATTTTAAGGATGCCTTGTTTGTTGGCTGCTCTATGGAGTTGCTGTTGTATAGCTCGATAATTCTATAACTCAATGGTTCCATCAATATCAAATGCTAGAGAGTCTACTGTACAACCCATAAAATCTTCTTTAAAGAAAAGATACTGAGAAACAAAACACACATGAGCAGGACACGTGTGTTCGAGAAATAATTTTCGTTACTCTATTAAATTTTTGTTGACCTCTAATAAACCAAGAACGGAAAAAAAATCGGAAAGCGGAAGTTGTTTTCAATTCGAAACACGTTAAGAGTTTACGGGAGTCGGACTTTTATTTACCGAACCATTAGGGTAGCGACGCCGGTGTTGTAGTGGTAAGCGTGATTGCCTCTCACTTCAAAGGGCCTGGGTTCAATCCCAGTCGACGCCGCCAAGATTTTCTGCACTCAAAAAACTCCACACGTCATCATCATGTGTCCTATCTAGCTACATTAAATCATAACTAAACCAACTATTTACAAAATTATGGGTAAAGATTTCTAATTTTTTCGTACTCTGAATTTAGAGTCCTAGTTTGGTGCCTACTGGCGAGCGCAGTCATTCTCTGGTCGATTTGGTCGAGATTTGCCAGCCGATGAACGTTGGCTATCCGTGTGCGCGGAGGTAGATTCAGAATCATCTTCAGGAACTTGTTCTGAAGGACTTGGAGCTTCTTCCGATGTGTTTTAGCACAACCCTTCCATACCGGAGACCCATACTCCAGCATAGGCGCAACAATCGGTCTGTAGACAGCCAGCTTTTTGATGGTGGATGCTTTCGAGCGACGGTTGATGATCGGATACCGACGTTTCAGCATGATGGTGCCTTTTTTTACTCAGTCTTCCACGAGCGACCGGAAGTGGAGCTTACTGTCGAGAATCAGGCCAAGGTAGCGTACCTTGGGTGACCACTCAGTTTCAGCGTTCAGAACCTTTATCTTTGATGACTGTTTGAGCCGGTCGGTGTTGCTATGCGGAAACACAATGGTTTGCGTTTTGGCCGCGTTCACACATATCTTCCAGTCGGTGAGATATATGGTGTAAGCATCCAATCCGTTTTGGAGCTTCGATACGAGAGTGCGCATTACTCGTCCCTTTTAGCTGATTGCCGAATCGTCAGCAAACAGCGACAGTGTTCCACCTTGCGGCAGTGTCGATATGTCCGATGTGTACAGATTGTACAATATGGGTCACAGGATGCTTCCTTGAGGGACACCAGCGGGTACATCATACGGTTCCGAGAGAGCACTGCCTACGCATACTTGAGACGTCCTGCCGTCGAGGTAGTCTGAGATGATCTTCACCAGGTAGCTGGGGAAACGAAATTGCAGAAGCTTGTGCACCAAGCCATCGTGCCACACGTTATCGAATGCCTTTTCGATGTCCAGTTTCGCCATGACCGTTGTCTTCAGGACCGACTTCGCCTGATTGATGAGGTTTGAGACCCGCTTGAGTTGGTCCACCGTCGAGTGACCTCGTCGAAATCCAAATTGCTCGTCCAGTAGGATGTCGTTCGCCTCGGTGTGCTCGAGGAGTCTGGCGTAAATGAGTTTTTCGAACAACTTGCTAAGCGAGGAAAGCAAACTGATCGGACGGTAGCTTGACGGGTTGGTAGGATCCTTTCCTGGCTTCGGTATCGGTACCACCTTGGACCGTTTCCAGGTAGCTGGGAAATGTCCAAGCTCTAAACAGCAATTGAAGACGTTCACCAGAAGAGTATGCGCTTTCGGTCCCAAATTCTTCAGGACAATGTTGAAGAGTCCGTCGAAACCCGGTGCCTTCATGTTCTTCGTCGACTTGATGGTGTTCACCAGCTCATCAAGTTTGATTTTCCGGTCCACCGGAAGCTCGCTAGGCTCAGTAGCTAGCTGGTAGACGCTCTCAAGCACCGGACCCTCCATCGGGCTGACAATATCTCGACCCAGATTATGCGAAGCCATAAAATGTTGAGAAATGGAGTTCGCCTTTTCGACGGCTGTTATGTGAACCTCATTATCAACTCTTAGAGGCGGCATGGGCTTTGGTTTGTTTTTAAGCACTTTTTTTAAACGCCAGAAGGGCCTAGAGTAATTTGGTAAACTACTAAGGTCTTTTGCAAACTGCCTGTTCCTAAGTTTTTCTACCCTAATGGCAATAATTTTGTTTAATTTGTTATATAAAACTTTCCTACTAACGTTATGCGTTCTTTGGAACTACGCTTGGTCTCATCATCAAGGTTGGTAAACTTATATGTCACCGGGGTTGTCGGGATGAACCGTTGTTCCGCTTCGCCGATGTCATCGGAGAGCGCTTGCAGCACGCCGTCGATTTCTTGCGTCGTCGTTAACGCAGGATTTTCGACCACTCGATCCTCCATAAACCGCTGGAGTTGAGGCCAGTTCGCTCGATGATAGTTTCGCCTATGATGCTGCTGACGTTGGTTGATGGTTTGATTCATCTCGAAAACCACTGGTAGGTGGTCGGATGACAGATCGGTAATGGCACGGGGCTCAGAGCAACCATCCGCCATGTTGGTGAGAACGATGTCGAGGGTGGATCCGACACCGGCTGGTGAGTAGAAGGTAGGCGAGTCCGGATGGAGGACCACGTAGTGTCCCGCCTGCAGGTCCGTGGCCAGCACTGCTCCGTTCTTGTTACTTCTTGTATTGCCCCACAGCGAGTGGCGTGCGTTGAGATCACCGGCGAGGATAAACTTACCCTTCCGACGAGTCAACTTCTGGATGTCATTCTTGAGACGATCGATTGTTCCATCCGACTCCTTACATTGGGCAGGACAGTAGATGGCAATGAGTGTGATGAGACCATCCAGCGATGCCAGCTCGACTCCAATGGCTTCCACGAACGATAGACGAAAGTCAGGCAGCATCCTGTACTCCAGTCCTCTCCTGATGGCAATGGCAACGCCTCGAACTCGGTCCAGTCTAGCAATTGTGTGATTTGGCAGGCTAAAGTTGATCTCCTGCTTGAGATACGTCTCGGTTAGAA